TTTCCTTTATAGAACAGCTAAATGTAGTTCAGATACAAAGGTTGCACTTCTCTATTAATTTGTGTGGCACTCAAGGGTAAAAAGTCAAAAAAATTGGTGGCCCAAGAATGACAGCACTAGGGGGAGAAACTAGAATAAGTATTTGTTAGCAGTGAAGGAAGATTTCTGTGAGTGTGGGGCTGGCAGAAGATGAAGACTTGACTGTGGCTCAGATATAGCTGTTAAGCCAGGCTTAACCTGCCCTGGGTGCTCGCTGGCTCACACTGTGTGTGCCACAGCATCTGCCTATGGACCCTACAGATTGCACATGACTGGAGCTGTTTTGGTACCACCTCTGTGGGCTCAGCTGTGCATCCCAAACAGTCCTTCTCTCTTACCTCTTTAGATCTCTCCACTCTCTGTATTGCGTGGCCATAAAGGGATTTTTTCAAATTATTAGATTCAGAAAGAGAACTGGAGGAAAAAAACATTTCAGACGGCAGTAGGGAGGAGGATCTTCAGTTTGAAGGCAAGAAGCAGCTAAATTGGGGTCAATGTGCCACATAACGAAAAGGCAGGTAATGTGTGTGATTGACAGTGTGTGTGGGACCCTTTGAGAGAAGATTTTAGAGGGAGAAGTATTTCATCCAGCTGCTTTCACAAGCTCATAGCGATTTGCAAAATACCAGGGACACACCCAGCACGGGCCACTGGGATAATAACACAGATGCACAATTTTTATGGCTGCCTACCAAACTTAGAAACTCCCTCTGGAAAAACAACTCAAAATGGCTTTTGCTAATCCTTCTGAACACCTGGAATAAGCTCAATGAGCCAGGGAACTAGAAGAGTTACTGTGTGGTTTCCCAGGGCTCTTACGTCACTCAAAATTAAAATTTTGAAATAAGCAGCTGAAAGAAACCTTGGAAATTCATGGATAGCCCTGTTGGGTGTCACATGGTTTTGTGCCAGCCTTGACAGTTCCGATTATAAAACAGAGACTTTCTGTTTGCAGAAAGCCCACCTGCTGCATACAATAATGTTTTGAATGCTTGGAAATCTGCAGATGAAGTGCATCTTTTATATTCTGCAGTTTCTGGGGGGTTCCCCACTTTTTTTTCCCCACTGGAGGCTTTCTCAGACTGCAGGTATTTTATAGTAATGTCCAACTTCTAGATACAGGCCTGAAGGTCTGATGAGACTGTGACACACTTTCACCAGATCTCACAAATTAAGCAGTCTTGCTAAATTAACAGTCTTGCTAAATCTTGGACTTTGCCTGCAGGACCTCCCCTTTCTCTTCTCCTTTTAACCCGTTCACAAGAGAGGACAGGCTGCCAAACTTTGGACAGAGCCAAAATATGCACTTCAGTTAAGTTTAATTAAGGCTCGAAATTGATAAAATTTGGAAAACTCCCATATCTATGCATATGTCATGTATGATGGAGAAAGTTCATTTGTTCTTATTTGCTATATGAAAAACAACAAAACTGTGGATTTTACCTGGTGAAGTGTGAAATCTTTCTCTCTCCATGATACAGAATTTTTTCTGTGTTTATCTCTTCCAGCCATTTTGATGTTTCAAAGTCACATTTCCCCCCAGGGGAAATCAATACCCCTGATTTGTTACTGCAAGGTAACTCCCCCTGTGGTGGGGTGGTACTCAGTAAACAGCTGTTTCTCCCTGTCAGGTATCAGATGCCTGAATCCTTCTAGTGTTAAAGAAAAGCCTAAATGGGGTGGGAGGCAAACTCCATCCATGCCAAGCGTGGATTGATCACCAGGTGTCTTGGTGTTCAGGAATGGGATTTGCAGGAACTGCTGGGGGACGTTGCTGGTACTTTGCAATGTGCATGTTTGCACAACTGAACTGGCAGGTCCTGCTAACTGTGCTTAGAGAGATATAAGAAAAAAATTGTCTGAAACAGAAGCGTTTCAGCTGGATTTCTAGATCTGATAAAGTTCTGTTCATAAAAGGAATCAAACCATTTTATATTGACACCGTTTTTCACTAGGTTTACTCAGATAAGTTCAATTATGCATTCACCACCCTCATCACCGACAAGACCAAAGCAGGAATATTCCAGCCCTGTGAATTGCCCTGTGCCTGCCAGGAGAAGTGCTGCCTTCCTGCAGCTTCCAACACAGGCCTATTGGTTTTCTCTGGTTTAGCAAACCAAACACTACTTGAAACCCTAATTGCTTTGGAATTGTTATTTCCCACACTTCTGATATTTTAACACTCTATTTTATTTTTATTAATTTTTATATCTGCAAGATGTGTTTTCCACCATGTAACTAGACGCCCCTAGAGTAAAGTGATTGGAGACAAGAAAGAAAAACCTTGTTATACAGTAGGTTGCCATGAAAAATTCCAAATGCCTGCCGGAAGGTGATGAATGTCCACTGTAAATGTAAATTTGCTGCTGTGGTCTTTACAATAGGACACATGAGGCATGTGAGGCTTTTCTGTTCTCCATGAGCCTTTCTTTGGTGAAAAAAAATTGAACGCAGGTAAACTACAGATGTAACAGTCTTCAAGATATCCTGCTATCAAGTGTTGCCTCACTGGCTGATTAATAAAAATTATTGCAGTGGACCAGTCATGCAGCAAACAAGATATAGTCTACTTCAAAGCAGATGGGGGTGTCATTTTTGGGGATAACTCTCAGGAGCCATCATGCCAGAAACACTCCTGAGCCACAGGCACTTTGGCTTTCTCTTGCTCTGGAATGAGCAGTGAGAACTCTCAGAGGCCCTGGCCTGTGCACATCTCGCTGTGAGTCAATGCCCCCCCTCCTCCCTGCTGAAGCCAAATAATTCCCTGCCGGCTTCCCAGCATCCATCCTGTCCCTCCTGGCTGGCTGGGGGCTGAGGCTGTGGATCGATGTTCCCCCATCACTAGGGCATTACAGGGATGGGGGCTTTGCTCCCACTCCTCTCTCAAGCTCTGTCCTTGTGCGAGTCATCCCTCTTCTCACTTATCCCACCACTTTCATTTGTGACCATGCCAACAACCAAAGTACATCACCTATCAGGCATTTTTTTTGGGTCACTTCCTCCAAGAAACCTCTAACTTCCATCTGAAGGGAGCAAACACGTGTCTGCCTGCAGCCCCCAGGTCCAAAGGCTTGGCTGGGAGCTCCAGCAGCAGGGAAAGCACCCCAGGGCTGGACCAGCAGCCTTACTGCATTTCCCTTCCAACAACACACCCACTGAACGAGGAGTTCCCAAAGCCAGGGGTGGAAGACAAAACTGAAAGCCTAAACACGTGCAGATGCCATTCAGAGCCTGGGACGCTCCTGCCAACTTCTGCAACCGATACACGGTCAAAATATTTACTCACGAATTCCTAATGAAGTGCCCCATTTGGTGGGGGTGTCCAGTTTCAGATGTGTCGCAGTGTCACCGCAAAATGCCTCGGTGATTCCTCCTAACAAAGAGCCCCTTGTGCGGGTTTTCTGTCAGGCAGTGGGGCAGGTTTTGGGTGCAGTGCCCGGGTTTGGGCTGCGCAGCTCCGCTGCTGTTCACGGAACCCGTGCGGCTGAACGCTGAAAACAAGCCCTGAACCCCTGCATTCCCTGCTGAAAACAAGCCCTGAATCCCTGCATTCCCTGCTGAAAACAAGCCCTGAACCCCTGCATTCCCTGCTGAAAACAAGCCCTGAATCCCTGCGTTTCCCGCTGAAAATAAGCCTTGAATCCCTGTATTCCCTGCTGAAAACAAGCCCTGGCAGCAGCAGCTCCAGGTGAACACGGGCAGCAGGGCGATGAGCTTTCTGTGGGTGAAGTTGCAAGGACATAATAACACTTGAAATCACTGAAATAAGTCATGCTCAAGTTCAGTGAATGCTTACATTTGCAAATATAAAATTGAGACTCAAGAAAGCAAACTATGAATGAAGAGTACATTTCTCTTCCAACCAGCAGTATTGAATTATATTTTACATTCTTAAAACTCACATGATTTTAGGCCTTAGTGTTTAATTCCGAAGTGTTTCAAAGACCTTTACTTTCATGAGTTGCTTGAAATATATAATAATTTTCACTTCGCTGCGTGAAAAGGGAAGCTGGACTTGTTTAGGTCCTGGAGGGAAGGTACAGCCTTCCTTCCTATAACAGGAAATATATTTTGAGGGAGAATTTTCTTTTTTAGTGACAGGATTTGTCTGTGTTTGCACAAGTAAACAAGCGTTATTTCAGAAAATAAGCTGGAACTTGTTTCCCACTGCCACAAACTTCTGCTTGCTGTGACAGTTCTGGTTATTCATTCAAAGGATGAAAAACTTGATGTTGCAGGGTCCTGATGCAGAAACCAGGCCTTCCAAAACCTTGTTCCTCAGGTTTGGTTTGAGGGAAGTTTGAACTGCAGGGTTCTATCCAAGCCCAGATCTCTGTTTGGTTCTTTTTTTTTTTTTTTTTAAATTTGGGTGTAACTCTGTTTATAACCATTGCTCAATTCCAGTGCTGGTGTTTCCCTTGGATTGATGACAAAGGGACGGAGAAAGGTGCCGCCTCTGCATGTGCCAGACACTCAGGGCAGTTCCTTGGGAGCTGTGACATTCCTGCAGCAGCTCTGCCGAGCTGGATAAGCCTCGTGGATGGGGTTGGATGGGATAACCCACGGGGGTGATCCCAGAGCAGCCTGTGGGGCTGCCGTGCTGTGGGGTGGTCACAGTCCCTGGAAAAGGCCCCAGGAACCCTCACACTCAGGAGTTTGGGGTGATAAGAATCAAGGAATTTTGCACCACAGAGAAAGATTAGATGGAAGAAGATGCCAAAATGTGGCATGGGGGTGAAACACTCTCCATTTGGTAAAAAAAATCCTGTGTCCTCCAACCTGCCGAGGGGCAGGGGCACAGCACAGCCCTCGAGCCTGTGACGGAGGCACACACCGAGGGACGCCGCAAGAACAGGGCAGAGGAAGCTTGAAATGCTGCTGGGTGCATTTCTTTAATATAAATAAAGTTTTCCAAAACCTCAGTGTCATGATTCAGCTTTTTTTTTGGCACTGAAATGGTAGTAATAATTTAAAAGTAGGCTAAACAAGTCTGAGGGAATATGCTGGTAAGTTCAGGCCGGAGAGGGGGAAGTTCCTGGAAGTAATAATAGAAAAACTAAGACCCTCCACCCCCAATAATTGCAGTTTAATTGTTTTAATGCACTTTACAAACACATAATAATTACAATATCCTCACAATACCTTCTGGGGCAGATATGATCATGCTTATTTTCTGGATGAATAAACTGACCCACTGTATTGAAATACTTTGACCAAGGCCTGCTCCAAAAACAATGGGAGACCAAAGAATACACTCTTTAACCTAATTATGAGAGAGTAGTGATGTGTATGGAGGAAGCAACTAAACTGAAAATTATACATGGGTTAGATGCTGTGGCCAACTTTTTCTTGCTTTCTTTTGTTTTGAAAGTCATAAGGTTTTGCTGCTCAACTAACTTGAGGTAATAGTGGAAACTGTGGAGGCTCACCAGTTTGAAAAAATTATGTCAGGAAGTTCTCATTGTTTTTATCAGTTTTTAGTGTTTTAAAAATATTTATATGACACATACAAACAATTTTTATATATCATTTTTGCCAGTAAATTGATGGCATAGCCTCAGTAAGTCGAGGACTGTCAGATAAAGACCATAAAGGTCATAAGCCATTGCACAGAGAATCTTATCTCTACATCCAACTCATAATATTTTTTTTAAGATTATCATATCTCTTGGGAAGTCCTGACTTGAAGACATCATAATTTAGATATTTTATTCATTTTTTTTAAAGTGGAGAAACACTTTTTGCCAGAAACAAAACCTTAGCTCAAAACCTGCATGAATCTGGGGGACTCTCTGGTTCCAGTTGATGCTCCTATTGTTGCTCAGTACCCACAGGAACATGGGTTAAAGCTACAGGTCTGAGTGCTCCTGCTCCAAACACTGCAAGTGGTCAGAGCTGCAAACTGCATTTTGTTCCCATTTTTGTTTAATAGGCAGCACCACAGAGATGCTCTGGGTTTGTGATAGCTTGGCTACATATCTCTAACCCCCCTGCAAGCCAGAAATAAAAAAAACCACAACTGGTGCATTTCTCATGGATTGTTAACTTTGGAAAAGATGCACAAATACCTGTTAAAGGCAGGATGAGTCAGGATGGAATTTCCATTCCACAGTAATAGCAATATTTCATCTTGCCCGGGGAAGAGTTCTCCATTTCACCCTTTTTGCTCTGGCTTTGCTGTAGTTCACTGAAATGACAAAATGCAATGCTCTGATTTCATTGAAATACAGCATTGATGTAATTTTGCAGTTACCTTTGTGATGAAGTTGATAAATTCCGATGAAATCCTTTAATTTTGCTTAGCCAGCATTTTCCAAAAGGAGCCTTTCCAGTGGGAAGTTTTTAACACTGAGAAGAAAGGCTTAGGCTGGTGTTCAAAATGGAAAGGAAGACACTGGGGAGGTTGATCTGTGTCCTGTCACTGCCCTGTTTAGGTATGGTGACTGTTACTGTGGAACTCCACTCAAAGCCAGGCTGCTGCAGCATGATCTGGCACTACAGAGGCTTCTGGTGGGAAAAGGAAATGACCCAGATGATCCAATACCGAGCTAAAGAGGGGACAGGGTTTGTGGAGGTACTTCCTTGCAAGTGCAGGAGGCAGTGACACTCAGCACCCTGGTTTGCCACCAAAGACAGCAGGGCAGGGCCTTTTCCAGGCCCTTCTGTGCCATTGCTGACTTGTCCAGACCCAGTTCAAGCATCTCCACGTGGGCCTGGCAGGAACCTGGGAGATGTGACCCGAGGTGCATCTGTGTTGTCTTATTTTTTTCCCCAAATATTACCATTTAAAATGTAGCCTGTAAAGATGTTGAAAAATGAGCCAGTAAAGATGTTGAAAAGTGAGCTGAAAAATGAAAAATAAACATGCTAAAGTGAAAACATATGGCAGGTGCAAGTTACATGCAAACCTTATAATGAATTCTGAAAATATACTTGAAGAATGAGATCTGCAAATGATTCTAGTCTGGATGGCACATATTAATGATCACTCCTATGTGCACCATGATGTTTGCCAGACCTAGAAGCACAGTTATGCTGGTGAACTTCATTAATCATTCAATAACCTGAGTGTAATAATGGGCAAGAGGGTTGGTAGTTTCAAGCATTCTCTAAATTGTGCTTAACAGTTTCAAATGAGGGATGGATGAACTGGCTGCAGTAACTGAAACACTAAGTCTGAATCTACATTCAAAGCAGACATGAGTTTCAGAGATTTGTGAATGATCAATTATCACTATTTTTTGTTTTTAAATAAGTCTTGCTTTCCACATCTCACGAGCTGATGGCTCTGGAAGCAAAAGTGCCAAAATTCCATTTGTTCGTTTTTTCTGGCACAAATCTGATCAGGAATTACCTCAAAATTTCCAGCCTCTTTTACTAGACCAGAGACACTGGGATAAGCTGGCACAAAGAACCCACCCTCCTTTTGCCCAGCGCCTTGCCAGCCACGCGGCAGCACGCGGCAGATCCAACCAGCCTCCTCAACCTGGTTACAACGTGCCTTTCTGCTTTTTCTCCCCAGAGCTTTGTCGTCCGTGGTGGCTTTAGGAGCCAACATAATCTGCAACAAGATCCCCGGGCTGGCCCCCCGGCAGCGTGCGATCTGCCAGAGCCGCCCCGATGCCATCATCGTGATCGGGGAGGGGGCGCAGATGGGCATCAATGAGTGCCAGTACCAGTTCCGCTACGGCCGCTGGAACTGCTCTGCCCTGGGAGAGAAAACGGTCTTTGGACAAGAGCTCCGAGTAGGTAAGGGTGTCTCTTGTGTGGTGCCGCAGGGATGGGCTCGTGGGGGCCGGTTTTTGCTTTTCCCTTTCTTGCCGCGCCCCCGCAAAGGTTCATAACCCTCCGTGATCTGCCCAGAAAAGTAACTGGCAAGAGACAGGAAATCTCTAGGGATCCAGAGATGAAGTCACTCCTATCTGTGCAACTTCATACCCAGTGCTGGCCCAGGTGCCTGCACAGCCATCCATCAAGGCTGTGAAAAAATAGTTCCAAATGTTGTCTTGTTAGAGGTTGCCATGATAACTGTGGTGCGTAATATGGCCAATCAAAAGTGAACTAAAATCAGCTCAGAAAAATCCCTCTGCAGACTTCTCAAAAGCTTAAGAAATGGGAAGGTCCCAAATAATTGCTGGAAGTACTGTGCATAAGGCACTGGCCTTCCAATATGTGGCAGTGATACATTTTAGTGTTGTTCTCATACTGGAAAGAAAATACTGCATGTGATTTGAGGCAGGAAACCTATTCAAAGAAAATAATACAGGATCTTGGCCTGACAAGCTGTTAGCTGGCAGAAGTTAAATCAATCACTTTCCATTTACCCTATGTCTGATATTATTTCAGAGGGGAGATCATGTATATTTTTTCCAGCACTGAGATCATTACTTTCCTCATCACTCAGCTGGGTATCCTCAGCCTATTCCTGACCTTTTCTCTCTGCCCCAAGGGCTGCCCACTCCCCAACCCCCCTGTGTCTGCAGCTCTGTGTTGTGGTGTGTGGCTCTCATGGGGCACTCGCTGTGATACTGTCCAGCTCCTCAGCAGGGTTGTAGCCTCTTCTTCTTGTGTCCCATTTTGATTTGGGTGACAATCCTCTAATTCAATGGTTCAGGTGAGTCTTGTGCCTCCAGCACAACTGAGTGTGGTCAGACACAAGATCTCATTGAAACTGCACAAAAAAAAAAGGCAAAACATTTCATCTGAGCAAAGAGGAATCGACTTACACGGTGCTCTGGCTGTCAGAGATCAAGGCTTTGGGTTTTTCCCTGACACCCTTGTGAAATGAAGGCCAAAAGCTGAGGCACACCACAGTCCGTGAGGGAACTGAATATTTTTTCAAAGAACATGCAAGTCGGAGAATCTTGCAGAGGTCTGGGTGTTTTAAGGGCACAGTGGCCCAGCTGTAAATTGTTGTGATGGAATAAATCCATTGGTATCAGGGGAATGGACTCACACTGGCAGGGAAACTGTCATATTCTGTGACCATTACTCCACACCAGATCACAGAAGTGGAGAGGGCTAAAACTAATGATGAAAAGAATTGGTAAAGCAAATCAATGGCAAAAGTCTGAACTTTTTGAACTGCAGAAGAAGGCTTGGTAGTTTTGATGTTGAAAAGCTGGTGGTGAGGAATTTGCTCATCAGTGTGTCTCTTCCCACAGGTGTCCTAAGATAATTTCTAATTCTGTTTAGATAATACTTTTTGCCTAACTTTTATTTCTGAAAGAGTATAAGTGGAAGGCTTTAAACATTCTCAAGACACCACATACAGGAAATAACCTAATATTTGACTTCTACCTTCAACTTTGAAGGTGAACCAGAAAAAATTCTAGTCACTTGTCTTGACTATTAGAAGCACAGGTCTGGTCCTCCTTGGTTGGTATTACATTTGTTTGCCTCCAGCTGATGTCCAAAATCATGCTGCTGCCAGAAAACACAGAGCTGCCAAGCAGGGCCCTGTTGTACGTGTGCATGTTTGTGTTTTCACCTGCCAGAGCCTGCAGGTGTGCTCTGACCTTGGGCAAGGCAGGGATCTTAACTTCTGTGAGAGCCCTCAGGGGGCACACTCTGGAGGGTTGTACCAGAGTTGGTGCCATCACTGAGCTTCCATTTCTGCTCTCCTTCCTCTTCAAGCTGAAGAAGTGGTGCCTCCTCAGCTCCACTCAGCTCGTGGGTGATAATCCTCTTCACCACAGTCCTTTTGTTCTCAGAAACCTCGGAGTGCAGTCCAAATGCCTGAAGAGGACTACAAATTGTGCTTTTGTTTTTATTCTGAATGTTTCCATACAAAATAAGAGCTAGAAGGAACAAAAACTATTTGGCATCAGGATGGGCCAGCGATCAGGTTGGTCAGGCTGTACCAAGTTTGAAAAAAATAGGGTTTTCTTGAGCCACTGTTCAAGCCATATTTACCAAAATGTTCACCAGATTCTTGACCTCTTCACCAAACCTGGGTGGTTTTTTTGCAGCTCTGAAAGGCCTGATGTGGAACCTGGTGGGTTCTTTTATGGCTTAACCCAAACACAGACAAAACTTGGCAGTTGCAGCTGAGTTCTGCTTTGACATTTGTTGGGTGTGAAACCACACAGACTCCACCGGATGGAGAAGGTTTACATGACCCCTTCCAGCCGAGCCAGATGGGTTCCATGTAGGTCTATAAAGGATCCCATAATTCACATGTCTTTATTTTTTTATTAGCAGAGTAGCACCCAGAGATGATGAGGTCAGTATCTAGGAAAAGGGCAGGGTTTAGGAAGTGGTGTTATTACACTAGCAAGGGGGAAAACGGTAAAAGAGGGACAAAGGTTTAAAAACCCAGCACTTAAGGGTGCAAAACACTTGTAAGCATGAATAAGCACGAATATTCACATGTGTAACAAAACACATCTGTGTCTGACACATGCAGAAACACTAAACCAGCCATTTGGTTCTGCCTGAACAGACTGAAGAAAGGATTAAGACTAAAAAAGACAAGCATATTTTTCACTTCATCCCAAAGGAAAGCTTTGTCCCAGAACCACTTAGGGAGATGAACATTTGAGTTATTCAGGGTGGAGAGGGCGAGTAAGCCATGATAACATGGTATTAATTGCTCTCTAGCTGTATGGGAGAGAGAGGAGCTACTCTTTAGCCACTAGGACAAGACTCTCCCACCATCACTGACAAGTGCAGAATTGGTTATTCTAATTTGTATCTTGATGCAACACTTCCCCTTCAAAATTCAAAGCAAACCCCCAGACTGACCCACCGTGAGGTTTCTCCAGCAGATGTGCCTCTGTTGCTACCACCACCTCTCAGGGGCCATTAACTCAGAACATCTTCCAGCCACAACCAAGCAGCAGCTGGAAGGCACAACAGAGGGACAGACGTCCCCCCTCCTGGGGATCCTGCTGTGCCAGAGGGAGTCCTCAGTTTGTCAGCTCAGCTGGATGGGTGATGATGAGCTATTGATTCAAAGAGGTACTCCAGTGAGTGAGGGCTGTACCACCAATACATGGAATCTGTATTAAAAACACTTGAGATAGTCCAGAGGACAGAATAACAACTGTAGAAATAATGTTAGGCGTGGGGCATTCATGTTGGTGTGAAAGATTTATTGCAGCTAGAGATAAAAAACGACAGAGAAATCTAAATTAGTAGCATGAACAAAGGCCGCAGCATGGGATGAATTAGTCAAGCACTGTA